TGAACACCTCGATCGAGAAATCACGTTGGCAGAAGTGCAATTCACAGCCCAAGCTATTCGCCGTAATACAACTCCTGGAAGAGATAAGATTGACTTCAAAATTCTAAAAAAATCTGAATAATGAAGACTACGAACGCTTGACCAAGATCTACAATAGCATATCGGAAAGTAGCTCGCTCCCCCCTGAATGGAAGCACGCCGAAATCATACTTATCCCAAAGCCGGGAAAACCACCGGGCATTGAAAATATGCGACCTATCTCGTTAACATCTTGTATGGGTAAGCTCCTCGAGCATATTATCCTCAATCGGCTGCAGCCCCACCTGGAAAGCGTCAATGCCTTAGCGGACACCATGTTTGGCTTCCGCAGACATCTCTCTACACAGGACGTGCTCCTGCAGATAAAGGAGGAAATTTTAGACCGCAAATCCAGCCAGGCGAAAGCAATTCTAGCGCTAGATCTAGCCGGCGCATTTGATAATGTGCGACATGAGGCTATACTGGAGAACCTCTCACACACGAATTGCGGAGCCCGAATATATAACTATGTCAAGGATTTCCTCAGGGATCGTACCGCCACAATAGGTGTAGGCACCCTTCGCACTCCGGAGCTCCGTATGCCCAACAGAGGCACACCTCAGGGGTCAGTGCTCTCACCTACCCTGTTTAATATAGCGATGAGAAAGCTTCCAGAAGCTCTCTTTCAAATAGCAGGCATACGCTACGTGCTGTATGCGGATGGCATTACCATATGGACTCCGGCAGGCAGCCTGGGCAAACAAGAGAATGCACTGCAGAGCGCTATAGACACGGTACAAAACTATGTACAGCCTAGAGGCCTGCAATGCTCTCCCGAAAAATCTTAGCCCATCCTCATCAAAGAACGCAGAGGAAAAAAGAGACCTGATCCCCCCCTATACCTACACCTGCGAGGCCAAACGATTCCACAGGTCAAGTCGCTACGGATCCTAGGAATGCACCTGCAGGAGGGAGGGGGAGCAGGAGACAACGTCTCAAAAGTGCTTCGCTCCCTCGCGCAGGTGGAAAGGATGGCCACCCGCATAATTAACAAGCGAAGAGGCCTTAAAGAGATCGACGGGGTGCGACTTGTGAATGCGCTCGTCATTAGCCGCATAGTTTATGCCTTACCGTACCATAAACTCAACCAGGAGCAAACAAAGAAGATTGACACTGCAATTAGGAAAGCATTTAAACACGTCCTCGGCCTGCCAGTAAGCACGTCAAATGCGAAACTCGCAAGCCTAGGCCTACACAACACGTACGCCGAGCTTGCAGAGGCCCAGCTGCTCAACCAGCTAGAACGACTCACGAAGAGCCCGACCGGCAGAAATCTCCTCGCAAAACTAGGATATGACTGTTTCCTCCGTGGCAGCGAAGACATCGAGATTCTAAATGATCAAATCAGAAGTAAAATTACAGTTCGTCCAATCCCCAGACACATGCAACCGGGGAGACACGACGGCAGAAGACAGGCCAGAATTCGATTCTTAGAGCAACAAATACAAAGCTGGGACAATACTCTCTACAGGGATGCCTCTCGACGCTCGAGCACAAATATTTACTCCTTGAGTGTAATCGACCAACATCTCTTAACCCGCTGCACGGCATCAATAAAAACATCCACCGTCGACGCCGCGGAGGAAACGGCTATAGCACTTGCAGTCTCGGCAAGCCGCGGACGGGACAGTGTCACTATAATCACTGATTCCCAGCAAGCGTGCCGGAATTACGCAAAAGGGCCAATCTACAAAGCGGCAGCAGTAGTACTCAGGAAAGGAACCAACCTTCCAAAGGTGACGCTCATCTGGGCCCCGGGGCACGCGGGATTATTAGGAAATGAACGCGCGCACGAGGTGGCTCGAGGTCTGCATTTCCGAGCGGGTGAGCGCCCAAGGGAGGAAAATGAGCAAGAACCAGTAGAGAGACGCTATAGCGAACTCCTCGCCTACTATAGGCAGGCTAGACAGAGTTTTCCCAGCCCGAATGGGCTCACGCGAAAGCAGGGTGTCATCTGGAGACAACTCCAGACAGATACATTTCCGCACATAGCTCGGCTTCACAAATTCTATCCACAAAAATACCCCTCCCACCTCTGCCCCTGGTGCAAACAACTACCGGCTAAACTCGCACACGTCACCTGGACGTGCCCTGAGCTACCTACTTTAGATCCTACTGAGAATGCTGAAATAATCCCCGTTGGGAATAACACATATGAGGGTTGGCTGAGGGCTCTATCCAGCTCTCTGCACACCAATCAGGTCCGCCTCATCAACAGGGCTGTACTCACAGCCCGCAAAAGCGGCGTCCTGGACATGAGATGCTGATTTGACTCTGTCAAATAAATGTTTTCACTCCCCCCCCCCCCCCCCCCCCCATTTTCATGCGGTTCAAGGATAAGATATTCGTCTGCTGCGAGTTTTATTGATGTTGAAAACCTTTTTATCAACTCTAAGAAATGGAAACGCGATACAAATGGGAACGCAGATATAGAGACCTAAAGTTATGTCCTTTTTTTCAATAACAGTTTTGCTTTTGTTTTTACTGATGTTGACAGTTCAAGGAACCTTCGCCAAGTTATTTATTCGATAAATTGCGTCGTCATACGGGACGATGCAATCGCGTTTATAGAGAAAAAGGCTTATAGTTTCGGAATGAAGTGCCATCAAGAATCGCTCTCAGATGAAAGCTGGTGGTATACGCTTACTTTTCGACAACAACGTTTATATGAAAAGTTTTGGCAGTTTGTGGAGTTACTTCATTCAGTGCACTAGACGTGACAAGCACAACGCGGAGCTATGTAATTTCAGATGCAATGAAGAATAACGTTACTTTTTGACGTTTTTCATTTTATTGATATTTTAAGTGTCAGTGCATCAGATCTGAAAAAAAAAACATCCACATTTAGTCTCGAGATGAGAAGAAAAATTTTCAAATGTAAGCCCATTTTACAAGGAGAGACTTTAGATTATAAAACGGAAGGAATTCGGGCGTTAATGTCTAACACCCTAGTCATAGCTTTAAAGGAGCGGTGCAACGATATTCAATTTTAATGTTTTTCACTTTACACGAGCTTACTGGCACTAGTGGGACTCAAGGATACTCGCGCGCAACGACATGCACTGGCCAAAAAACTCCTTCGTTGCGGTGTAATTCCAATGACAAAAGCGATCATTTTCAACCAATCAATCTTTTTTTTTTATTTTTTTTTTTGCAAAATTTGATGACGTAACGTGGGGATCGCAGTACACCCCAATGACGATATTTGAATGCGATTCATAGATTGGACCCGAGCATTGCGTGGGCACTCGATATGGGCTCGTGATAATTACTAGCTCGAGAAGCATTCGGGTAGTGGCCCGTGTCCAATCGCTGCAACGACGACAGTAGCCGAGCCATAACAATGTCTGGAACTCAGCGCCTGTCCTGTGCCTTGCCAACCCCAGCGCGTGGCTATGATCAACATTGGCGGCATAAAATCGGCTCCAGATTCCGTGGCCGCTTGTTCTGGCTGCAAGTTGAGGGAGTAAACGCCACTCGTTTTTCTTTAATTCTTTTTCGGGGACTTCTATTGCGTGGGGTGAAGAACGAGCGCGTGTTTCATAGGTCATTAACGTCAGGCATCCGTTCTAAGCGGTATTTGCGCAAAGTACACAAATTGTTGCATCGCCCCTTTAAAAACAATGACTCTTTCTATACTCCGTTTCACCTTATGTTGTACCGCAGACAAGGCTAAAAGCGCGCGCTCATAGCGTTGGGAGCTACTCTTAACGCACGAGAGCTTGTGCCGCCGAGATCTGCCCTGAGCAAGGAGCTCGCGCTTGTAGCTTTTCCTGCGGTACATTATAAGGTGAAACAGAGTATAACTGATATATTTTTCGTGCTGGTTATTGACCCGGTATTTAGATCGGCCGGTTCATTCAATTGTTCCTTTTTGAATTTTTAGTAGATTGCAATATGATTCGAGATTGGCATTACCGTTTCAAGAAATTTTCAAGTGCTTAAAGTTGTTTTAGGTCTTATGGCCCGAGTTGTTATGAAAATAAATGGTTATTCTGTGCATTTTCTTTCATTAACAACTCCGAGGTACGATTATACATAACAATCAGGACGTAAATTATTTCGGTATTTATAGTTACCGCAACTATGTGCTAATTTTAACCAGTTTGGTCATCTTGAAGTTTGGAAGTGTCGGAAATGACTGTCGGAAACACAAGCAAACTGTCCAACACTGAGTTACTAAACACACCGTTAATTCGACAGCCGTTTTGGTTCGTAAGAAAAATGAGCCCCTTGTTCGCATTGGGACCCTGTGTCGCCAGCAATGTGTCCCCCAGTATATATATATATATATATATATATATATATATATATATATATATATATATATATATATATATATTTCTTTTCTTTTTTAAAAGCATATGTTTGTGCCAATAACACGCCTGGATTGCGTGGCGTGGAATGGCACTATAGAACCTTTTCGAAAGCGCGCGCCTTCTGCTAGCCGCTCCGCCGGTTATCTGAGACTGCCCCATTGTTTAGGCGCGTACTCCGAGCATGTATTGGACGCGAGGTCTGCATCAGTATTCGGCGCGAGCTCCGCTCAGCTCACATAAAAAAAATAAAGTGCTGTGTCATCGTTTGGCGATGACTCTGATTCAGCCACGCGTATCGGGAAATGGGGCCCGCCTATGGAATTTCGAAATGTGTCTATTATGACAGTTTCTTGGAGCGGCTAATTGTAAACTGAGTCAGGTTTACGCTTTTGGATTTTGTTCATTAACGCTCTAACAAAATGTTCGGAGCAAAAAAAAAAAAAAAAAAAAGAAATTGCGGAACTTATTTTGTATTAACGTTTAGTTTACGGTTTTGTTTACATCGCTCGAGTGATTTTTGTTTTGTCACAGAAAAAATGATTCATTTGTTTGGATGTTATCCACTTTGTGTCACCATTTAGAACGCAATTCTATTTTTTACAGGTATTTACGGGAGGCTGTATCTACAAGAACGGACCCGTGAAGGTCATCCATGACGAAGAATTGAAGGTTCGAGCTGCTTTATCTGGTCCTGTTTTATCTTGTTCATAATCCGATGAAAATTGTTTCTTATATATATATATATGTATATATATATTTTTTTTTGTTACCGGTTAAAACCATGTATTAGTTCGTGGCCACTAAGCTCACATCTACACCTGAGTTCAAATACTCACTGGGAATACTTGTAACGTGGTCAAGGATTGACTCAAAATTTGAGGTAATTGTAGTTGATACATCAACTATGTGTGCGTAACCGTGCAGCTTAAATAACTATTAAAGTCTCTAGTGTAATATATATTTCTAAAAATATAATTTACGTTGAAATCACCCACAAAAGACTTGTGCAACTTCAGCTCAATACTCAGCTTGGGCAACCTTTCTGAAAACCGCGGAAAGGCACAGTCTGGTTCGGATGGACTAGGGCACACGAGAGAAAATAAGACCATAACACTGAACAGCAATTCGCTCAAAGTTATCGTTGATAATCTTGGACTGAGAAAATAGTCTGTATAACAACTCCCTGAACAGCTATAGACTACCTACAATCGAACAGCTCCAGTTTCGCAAAACTCCCTCGCGTTGGCCGAACCGCTCAAATAAAATAAGGCACCGCCGCTCGTGACGGCAAACAGACCTGACCGTCCTGATTCGGAGCTAGAATTGAATGGCAGAGCTTTAAGCTGGCGCGTCGGATTATCAGATTAGTTCTGTGTGTCCGGATTACCTCGGCCGTTTGTCACGGTCACTTGCTGCGACTGCTACAAGTGTCCGATTAAATTCTAGCGGGAAGCTGCAGGGGCGGATCCAGAGCTCCGTTTTGGGGGAAAGGGGGGGGGGGGCGGGAGAATTCGTAAGGATACTAATCTCCCATTCTTTCTGCGTATCGAGGGGTCCCCCCATGTCAAATTGCCCTCCGAGAAGGGGGGAGGGGGGGGTTCCACTTTGTTTGGGAGGGGGAGAGGGCGGCCGCCCCCGTGCCCCCCCCCCCCCCCCCCCCCCCCCCCTTAGATCCGCTCCTGGCGGGAAGACACTCGAAACTGGGGAGTCAAGATGCATGCGTCGCCCTGACAAATCCGAGCCCATCCGGGCTCGACGGAAAGGAGGTCGGTTGTCTCATTATTTGAAAAGAAAGCGAAGCTTGTAGTTTCAGTTTGCATTTAGCGATGAATGTTTCGGGACATATAGTCTTCCTCAAACAGACCTCTCTGGAAAATCCCGAAAGGCCTCTCGCCAATCTCACGCTGATCGGCGCGGCGCGGGGAATTGTGGGATCGTTCTGATGAACGCCCCACAGTTGTTTTCTCCGCACACCCTGCAAGCGGTTGGATTTCTTCCTTTTTACCACTGTAAGTTCAGAACAAAAAGAAAACAGAGAGAATTCATCACGGTAAGTGCCCTGTCTTGTTATCGTCCTGTTTTTCTTTGCGTTCTAAAATTGCAAAATGCGAGGCAATCAAGAATGCACCGTATACATAGGATGGCCTCAGTGAGTCGAAGAGACGATGGGAGGCGCTGCGTATTTTCCGAATGGTCTATTGCACACACAGTGTGCGTTTGAGAAGGATCATCAGAAATCAGTGTAACAGGCGCAACAACCAGTATTATTTGTTATAACAATACATGAGACAGGCTGTAGTGAAGATGCTGCGTAGTGTATAAAATTTAAGACAGCACCAACTTCGGAGACAGTTAGGTTCTATTACTTGTAATTTTATTTTACTTACCGTATTCACCCAAATCTAAGACGACTTTCTGTTGAACAAAGCCCCCACTGCAGGGCCTTACTCAAAACCAGTTGAATTGAATTGAATTCATATAGATTGTTGCTCTTTACGCAAGAAGCGCGAATCTCATTTTATGACAAGGGCAACGTTATTCTTTGATAAAAATAGTACAGTCGCAAAGAAAGGAGATCAGAATGTCGATGGAGGATATCCACGGAAGTGTGAAATTGGGCACTGGATAAATGGGCTAGACGGTTTCACGGGAAACAAAATTTTACGTCTAAACTTTAAAAGCTGGGGTGGGAAGGTTTCTAGGGTAGGTGGCGCAAGCTACCGCCCGATATACAAGGTACAATCACTAGCATCCATCTATCCATTCAGTCATCTAGTCTTGAGATAGATACTGTTTAATGACTTGCAAATAGAACCTATGCTAAAATTTTGAGCACATTGACCTTGTGCCTATAGCTTTATTATGTTTGATCGGAAAGCTAGCGAGGGTTCATTATACTCTTGGCCTTTTCGTTAATCGATATGATTAGATCCGTATGTTGTCTAGAGGGGAAATTAAATCGACTTACTTTCCAGTGAAAATACACACAAAAAGAAAGAAGTTACTGCCATTCTAAAGGATGCCACAAAAAAAAAAAAAAAAAAGTACTGTGTTTTTGTATTGCAAAAGTAAATAACGCATCGAACGCTCATTATCCTCCCAAATGTACCACAAGCGTTCCGGACCCGATGCCAAATCTTCAGAACTAACCGTTAGCTTATTCAAAAGTTATAAGTTATTTCCTTAAATTTTCATTGGGAAATGGCGGCCGATGTGCAGTTGAATGGTTTATTGAAATTTTCAGAAAATTGCCTATAACTAAAATCCTGCATATCCGAAGATTACCCGCGGATATCCACAGTAAACTGGGGGATGCGGGTAAAAATGAATACGAGTTAGCGGGTTGCGAATCGGATGCGGATATCCGTGGGTCCAGATGTACTTTTTTACCGAGGCTGCCCATGAACGTGCACAAGCGCACAGCGTAGAGTGAATAAATGAGTGACCCTATGAAGTGCACCATCGAATGTATTGCGGGAGCAAACTACTCTTTTGGATAAAGGTGCCAATCGGGGAGAAAATTGTCCTTACGTCAAGAAAGAGTTGATTCTCACCAAAGATCGCTTTAAAACGTTCTATCTCGCCAACCTTAGAAAAAAGTAAAGAATGCAAGAGCATCAGTCGTCCCGGAAAAAACGTGTTCTTGTTTGGCAGGAAAAAAGCGGAAAACGTTATTTGGGCAAAGAAAACACAAAACGTAATGGCCACAAAAAAAGTACAAAAAGCTTGCAAGTCGCTTCTTCGCAGGGTTAGGCAGTATCGCGATACAAATGTATCGCGATAGTATTTCAGAAATACATTTCGTATCTGTATTTCTGTATCGCGATAAATTTTTTTTCACCAGTATCTGCATTCCTGTATCGAAATACATTCAGAATATTTTTTTTTTGTATCGCGATACAATCCGGATGAAATGTATTTTGTTACATTTTTTGAGAAATACTCTCTCTCTCCCCCCCCCCCCCCCCCCCCCCCTCCCCTCCGAAAAAAAAAGTCCTAACGTATTTTTTCACTTTTTACTTCTGAGGACATTAGGTTCAAGGAGATGCTGGGGCATTGTTACTATGCTGACCAAGGTTCCTTTTAATTCTCCAAACTATTTTTCTGTGCGTCCTCTTCCCTTTTCTGAAAAGTGTTGCGTGGTCGGGGATCGGAACCAGGTGGGTGCCAGGAGTGGAGGCAGAGCATCTTCTGCCGCAGGTCCTTGGGTAGGGATTTCTTGAGTCCCGGTTTGCTGGCATCCAATGCCCACTGCTGACCGTCTCTCTTGCCTTAGCATACGCAGTACACCCAGCCGGCAAAGCTCAGTCACAGTCCGTTGCAGCACGAGCCTGGTGGTGGTTGATTTGAAATAGTAGCATGACTCACGCAGTGAAGTTCAACACATATTGGAATGCGTCTACGGCTGCTCCCGTAATACTGCACGACTCAAGGGTACGTCATCAGCCGACGTGAACGTGACCCGCTGCTCTGGTGATCCGAAACCCAGGATGAAGGCCAGACGTGGCCTCGCTGTGCTGACCCAAACTTCGTACGCCTGCGACTCGTCTCGAGCGCGCTGTTTCTCGGAGAGCTCGCACTTGTGCCGTCAATATCAGGTCGCAATCCACGAGGTCTCTGTTTGGATGATGATAGCTGAAACGTCAGGATTGCAATCCATGCGTCGGTGGCGGAGGGTCGGCAGGAAGGACCTTCACAACAGGGATGCCACCGTATCGTTCTTTCAACCGTAAGACAAGGACTCGCCCATGAATACTGCTGAGGACATCACTCCAGGTCAGCAATGTGCCACAACCTCTTCGCGTCGAGTCATTGTACCAACCAGTGACATAGACCTTTCTGACTTTGACGAACCAGAATGGAAATATGTCAAGACAAGAAAAAAGCGAAAAAAGACTAGCCTTAATTCGAGCCTAAGTGCTGAGACAGTCTGCAGTGCTGCAGTAGTGCCTGAAGGGCTTACTGTCGTATTCACGCTATTAGAGGAGGGCCACGTGATTACGTCACTTAGTAGCTTAAAACTGTCCCTTGCTCTAGAGAAGATGTTCCCGGAATGTATCTCGGAAATCAGGTTCAACAACCGCCTGAATCTCATTGCCGTTGACGTAAGGAACGGACAGACCACGCGTGGGCTGCTACGATGCACGATGCTCTGTGGAATCAAAGTCAGAGCGTATGATCCTCTCACCAGACATTGCGCCACAAGTGTAATCAGGGACGTAGACACTACGCTGAATGACGAAGAAATCGCCAGCAACCTAAGGTCCCCTGAAAACAGAGTTGCTCGTCTTCGACGACTAGGAAAAAGTTCAGCGATCAAGATCTCCTTCTGTGGATCGACGTTGCCAAGCTACGTTTACCTCGGTCATGTCCGGCATGCAGTTTCACAATTCCAAGAGAATCCACTTCAATGCCGCAAGTGTTGCCGCTAGGGACATTGAGAGGCAACCTGCAAGCGCAGCCCGGTGTGCAAACGCTGCAGCGGCACGCATGAAGACAGAGACACCTGCTCTGCTCAAGAAAAGTGCATTAACTGCGGCGACGCACACTCGGCTACATCGTCATCCTGTTCAAAATGGCGGCAGAAAAAGAAAGGCAAAAAATTACTCCAGACAACACGGAGTCGATTTCCGCACTGCCAGAACTGCACTTCATGGATCCGGATGGCC